AGAAAATGGCTGCTCCAACCTCCTACCAGGGCTGGCCTCCTTGTGCACTTCCTCTTCCTCTGATACTCACCACCCTCTTCCCTCTCAGGATAATGGTGCTATCTCTCTTCCTTCAGACAGTCTGGCCTTCTTAGCCTGCACCTGTTTCCAGGACTGGACCGCCCTTCTTCCTTTGCTCCTCATATTCTCTTTCTAGTCTCTGACATACCGCCCGCTATTTTCCAGTCTGCCTGTGGATTTCCAGCACAGCATTTATTTTTGCCCTGTCATAGGGTACCTCTCCTATAATGTAACCTCAAATGCAAGAAACAGCTTTCACTTTCTCAAACACATCCATGTTTCCACAACACACAGTTATTGCCCAGTTTGTGCAGAATCACCTAGAATTCCTCAGGTCTAGAATTCCTCTAGTCTCAGCAAACCCAACAACAAAAAAAAGAAGTTGGTGATGGAATACCTTAATCCCAGAATTTGGGCGACAGAGGTAGGGGATCTCTGTGAATTTGAAAACATCCCCATCTACATATTAATTTTCAGGCCAATTCGAGCTACAACAGTGAAATTCTGTCTCAAACAAAAATAAAAATAAAATAAAATTTAAGAGACATAAAGAAAGAATAAAGCAGAGACCAAGGAAGGAAGTAAATGACTACCAGCATAAGCAATGAAGACAGCAGTTCAGGTTAGTGTATCTTTTTACATCATTTCTAGATGCAGTGTTATGTTTACACAAAATGCGAGCATTTGGGTTAGGAGTGGTTTGTAAACTATATTTCAACGTTTATTCTTGGAATAACCCTTGTACCTACATGTAATTACAACAAAAAGAAATCGTGAGGGACTAGGCACAACCAAAACGTGCATTACAGTAGAGAACAAAGGTACACTGGAATCCTCACTCAGAAAGTGGACAGTCTCCAATACAGCAGAGTGCTGGGGCAGGCAGTAAGTTAGAACCAAGTGTCCTTTCACGGGAGGCCAGTGGGAATGAGAAAATGAAGCTATAATGTCTCCCTGTGAAGGGCCTCTTGCCATATAAAACTAAAACTGTAAGGAGTAATGTTTCATTAAATAATGGAAAAGTTCTGAGAAAATCAAGAGATAAGAAACCAAAGCAACATATGAAAATTTGGGCTATTTGCCAGATTTATTATCTGTTTTTTCCACTGTCCCCCCCACCCACAAATTAGTGGTGATTTGCCAAATAATAAAAAAGACAAAAGAAATGAAAGTAGTCCTATTTCAAGGGGCTGTTTCCTGGCTCAGCGTTTCCTCTTTCATCACTACCTCTATCAGGATCTCTTCTGCACTGCACACCCATTTAGGTATTAAACACAATTAAATGAAAAGAAGCTTAAAACAACAAAAAACTGTCACCTTGAAAAACACAACCTTGACCAAGCAAACCACAGCTGGGGCAAAGGAGTCAGGAAGCTCTGAATTCACCTTCCACTTCTCAAGGACAAGTCAGAGCTGAAGTCTTTAGAAGTCTCCTCAGTATCTAGAGCAAAGGGCATGATTAAGGGCCTTTTGCAGTTCTGGAACCAAGCCTGCTACTGAAAAAACACTGCCTTCTCAAACAATATGATGCTAATACATCACCAAAATGTCCAAAGCATGTAAACACTAATTTCCTTGTGAGAAAAAGAAACATTCCGACTGCAGCTGTCTATGCAGAATGTGCTAGCTCCCTCATCGTCCAATGCTCTGCTGTGTCTTCTGAGGCTTGTTTTCTGTGCTGACAGAAAACAACACATGATTCATAAGTAAAGTGGCTAGAGGCTTAGACTGATCAAAACGGAAAACGTCACAAGCACCTGCACTTCTTTTGGTCATGGAGATTCTCATTGCCATCTAAGTGACCTGTGGCAAACAGAGTCCTAGAGAATGCTGAGTTTCTTTTCAGAAAACAATGGACAAAACAAGGTAAAACTCTGAGAACTTAATGAATTTACCTCACAAATACACTTTTTCCCCCTATTGTTTTCTAGATAGGGCTTTTGTTCAGTGAACCCATCATTCTTCACACTTGTTTTCTGTTCCGAATAGCAGCACCCTTCGGGTTGAACTAAAGATAAAATAAATTTAAAAAAATGAAAACAAAACCATTTTTCTCCTATGAATGAACTTTCCAACTTGCTTAATACCCTCCCAGACATGTGCTTTCAGATGGAACCCAGGAGCTTTTGAGTAGAACAGTCACTGTGTGGTCTTAAAAGAGCCACAAAGCAAGAGTCTCTCTTGCAATATGCACTCCAAATTTGGAAAGAAACTTTCTTGGAGCTTTTTAACATAACATTCTATAAAAATGATCCAAGAGATGACACATTTTATAGCTCCGTACTTCATTTACAGAAACGAGTCCAAGTATGAATTTCATACTCGGAAAAAAAGAAAGGAAGGAGGGAGAGGGGGGGAAAGAGAGAGAAAGGAAAGAAAGAGAGAGAGAGAGAGAGAAAGAAAGAAAGAAAGAAAGAAAGAAAGAAAGAAAGAAAGAAAGAAAGAAAGAAAGGAAGGAAGAAAGAAAGAAAAACCAGCATCATTCCCTTATCCTCTGCCCAACACAATTGGGGGAATGGCAGCCAAGGCTGTCCTAAAAAATAATTAGTCTTTGCTGCCACCTAGAGGTAAAAAGTGTGTGGTGAAACTAAAGCCCAACTTGTGAACTTTGGAGCCTGTGAATTCTCAACACCTCAGGCAATTTTCTTCACGTTACCTTAGCAGAGTTGCTTATAAGCTCCACCACTACTGGCTATCAGGTGGGGACAGAGGCCTGTGGTGTTCATAAAACACACCTGCCCTGACCCAACTCCCAGACAAGCATCTTCAGCTCTGACATAGCATCTGGGTTTGCCGGGTACTTCAACCACAAACATCCTACCAAGTGAACCACTATCAAGCCGCGCTAGAACTTCATAGTGCCAAATTTTCCCTACCTTGCAGGTGAGAGTTCACAGTGAAAGAAAAGGTTTCCATCTAAAAGAGCCTCAGCCTCAGCAGAGGTTCTCTAAGTATGGTAAGCTGACCATGTACCTCAGAGCCAATCACCCTTGAGAATTTATTAAAAGCGTGGCTTCCCACACACCCACACAACAGTTTAAATAGGCCCACATCACGAACTTTCAACACTAAATTGGAAAAGTCCTGTAATTCTTGAAAAAGTTAAGGGCATCACAAAAACCTCTTCTGGAAAGGGTGAAACGGGTTTCAACTGTAGCTTTTGTTGTTTGTGGTTCAATGATGTAGATGATATTCACAGAAATGCCCTCATCACTGAGAATTTTCATTTTTCATCTCTTGACAGTTTACTATAGCATCTTTTAATCGTATGATCTTGTAGAAAATGTTGAGGCTAACAAAGAACACTTACAATACCACTAACCTCAGCAGACCACTAATATCATGGACTCCTATTCATCTACAGGCTGGGTACCCCTAATTTGGAATTGAACATGCTATAAACCTAACTTTCTAGTGTCACTACAGTGTCATAAGCATCTGACCTCACATGACATGTAGTGGTTAAAACACTGTTACAGTAAAAATATTGTATAAAGCTACAGCCATTCTATGTACAGAGTAATGTACAACTGAAACATAATGGTTTCTGTGTTTAGATGTGGATCTCATTGTGGCTATGTAAATAAGCCCCCAAAGTTCAGACATTCAAAATACTTCTGATCCCCAGGGACAGTCAATCTGTAGTTCTTTCTCTTATATCATATATAAGCATTTAATATGCATGTTTTAATTTTTAAATTCAGTTTCTTAACATTTCTGTGGAAGCATTTCCCTGTAACTTCAAAAGCATCACTATGCAATAACAGCACAGTGTTTTTATATAATCATACATTAATTCATACCATACCCTCATATTATTAAGAATTGTTTTCTAGTTGGGCGGTGGTGCTGCTTGCCTTAAACCCAGCTATTGGGTGTCAGAGGCAGGCTGATCTCAGGGAGTTCGAGGCCAGCCTGGTCTACAAGAGCTAGTTCCAGGCCAGCCAAAACTGTTACACAGAGAAACTCTATCTCAGAAAACCAAAAGAAAACAAAAGTTGTCTATATACACTTTTTTATTCTAATTAATGCTAAAACAACTACCTTTACCTTTATTTTATTTTTTCCTAGAAAAGGTCGCCGAAAAAATGACTAAGTCACATAGTACTTGATACACAGGCTGGCCTTGAACTCACAGAGATCCACCAGCCTCTGCCTCCTGAGTGCCAGCAAGTACTATTAAATATTCTCATTCTTTAAGGAAGCATTTTTCCCTTTAAAAAGTTAAAATCTAATAGTTCTTAGCAATCTATTTAACTCTGCTAACCTACTGTGTGATCACTCAGGTTATGTGACTCTTTTCACATTCGGCCTTCACCAATAGCAAACAGTAGACAACTCTACTCGGCAATGTGCCCCATCTCCCACCTCAAGCCACTCTTCCACACGTCCCTATGATGAATGAGGTGTTTTCTCTATGTGGCAGCAATCTACATTCCCACCCCGCCTCTCATATGCAACCTAATTTGAAGCACTCCATTTCTAAACTGGGTTGGATGTTTTCCTGAATCAAGAAAGAACATTAACAACAGCATCCCCTCATCTCATAGCCTACAGCAGTTCCTTGAGGGCCCAGTCTAATGCGGCTTTCCTCCTGAAGATCTCAGATGCAGTAATCATGAAATCTCCTCTGGAGATCTCATAGCTCTCTGACAATAGTTTTGGACACTTCTCTTGTTTATTTCCCCCAACACTGATCAGCAAGAACTGGTCTTCCTCTGTGTTCACCACTATCATTAAAGCACATATACAAAAGGAGTTTGCAGAAACATTTTCCTAAAATATTTTCCCATCAAACTAGATTCCCAGAACCTTGTGCTTTCAGAGTCAAACCTCCAAACTAACTACATGCCTTGAAAAATGACAATTTTCTTCCAATCATATAAATCATATAATAACTACCTTTTATCTTTGTTGTTGCTGCTGTTGTTTGATTCAAGATCAAAGGAGTATGCAAGCAGAGAATTCCAACAAGGATCCCCAAACCCAAATCTACAGGCATCAGTAGACTTTCCTGCAAAATAGCCCTGGGACCTATGGCTAAGCCTAGTCACCAAAATGGCTGTGAGAAATTACACATCATAAGAACTGTCACTGCTAACACATTCCTCCACATAGAAGGGAAAAGGTAAGTCATACCTATGTACTGTCTAGGAAGATTCATCTCCAGAAGCATCTGGGAAGCTACAACCACTGAAGGTCAGAGAGGGATGGCCATCTCTCCAGAAAATGGTGAAGAAGCCAACTGACCTACGGCTCACAGGTTGATGGACCTGCTAAAGGGCATGGTCATAGAAGTAGTGCATGACCAATTTCTAAATGGATTTTTACTTTAAAAAAAAAATCTCATTCAAGACCGTGTCACTGAATCAAGAGAAAGGAGTAATTCTAGTTCAGTGTGGACACGGGCACCATGACATTTCTAAGATGAGGCATTTCTGACTAGATTTCATGCCTTCACAAAGCCTCAGGGCTTGGGGGTGCCACTGATTTCTATGACCCATCAGGAAACACTGGAGGCATGGGCCTGGAAGAAATCCTCCTGACTGAGGACTACACTTCAGCTAGCTTTCTACAGTGAGCCCCAGAGCAGAAGCCAAGGAACTGCCATTCCCATACTCATATGGTCAATCTATTTCAATGCATACACCCAGGGGCCATTTAATGAAGAGAGGGATGGGGGAGAGAGGAAGAAATAGGAGGAAAAGCAGGGAGCTGGGCAGCACTGAGCTATGCAAGCTCAAGAGAAATGGTGTAGAGTATCAAGCAAGTGGTAGAGGAAGACTGTGGGGAGGATAATGAGTTACAAGACAGAAAGAGAAGTCCAAGTTAAAGGCAAGGCGTAAGTGAATAGAAAAGAGCCTATGAATGAAGATCAGGAAATTCTGACGACAGAAGCAAGACACACAGAGTGTACACAGCAGCATGCTGAGAAAAGGCAGGTGTTTAATACATCTCAAGTAAATTCAAGATGAGGAATGAGCTAGAGAAAGGCCATTCACCCAAGACACAAGTGAGAAACGAGGCTTAAGAGGCAGCAGTGAAGTATGATAGGGATGGGAAAATAGTTATGCCTGGGTACCATCTCATACTCCTACCGCTCTGGAGCAGAATCAGGAGGCAGAAGAGAAAGGATCATGAGTGTAAGGAGAGCCTGAGCTGTTATACTGTCTCAAAAAAAAAATGCTGAGGCTACAGCTCTGGTAGAGAGAACACTTGTCTAGCATGTACAAGGCCAGCAACACACACACACATACACACACACACACACACACACACACACACACACACACACACACAGGAAAAATAGGAAGCAACCAATTACGAGCACTGGTTGCTCTTCCAGGATTCCCAGCATCCACAGAGCAGCTCACAACTATCTACACTTCCAGTTACAGGGAATTCTGACACAACTTTCTGGCCTCCATGGACACTGCACAAACGGTGAGCAAACATACACGAAGGCAAAACACCCACACATATAAAAATAAAATAAAATTGAAAATTTCAACAGGAAAAATAATATATACTATCAACACTCTCAGAAAAACAAAGTGTCCAGGAAAGTTATATCTCAAAAAGAAACAAAATGTTGTTTGTATATTGAAGGTTTTAATCTTGTTTTCTCCCTCTGCTGGGACTTTCTCAAGTATGCTTTATGTCTAGATGACATAAATTCATGAGTGAGGAAAAAAAATAATGCAAGATACTGTTCAAAGTAGCAAAAAGAAAAAAATCTAAAATAATTATGGACATTTATATGATCATCAGCAGTAATCCACCTTGAAATGGTAATCAAGTACTCTCATTAAGACAAAAGTATCACAAAATGTTCCATTTTAACCAAAGAATTACCAATCACAACACAGGCTTTCTCCAAACACTATCTAAGGCATAATATGCAATACAACTAAGAACTGAATATGACTTGAATTTCTACAGCATAGTGTTTGACATATAAAGCAAGTGAAATAAAGAATCCTGTCACCCCAGCATAACCCTGCAAAAGAAATGTGCCCATTATGAAGGGGGGGGGGATGAAAAGTACCTAAGAGAAGCTATCCTACATGGAAGTGGGGGGGCTCCCTAGGAAGAATGGGTTTAACAGGAGTGAAAGGGACTGAGAGGTAACAAGGGTGAAAACAGACAAAACGCACCATGTACATATGTACAGATTGTCAGAATTTGTAAAATTCCAGAAAGAGAATGTCCTATAATTTTAGAGTGTGATTAAATTTTTAAAAACAGATAAAAATCCAAGTGAATAAAAATAACGAAACTCTTTTAAAAAAATGCCAGCTTTATGCCAAGAGTCCTACTTGTCCTTTGTTTACTCTTCTTTGGTGATCTCTGGGTTACTAGTCTCACTTTTTGAAATCATGAATATTTTTAATCAGAATGTAACTGGTCTAGTATCTAACAGAACTGTGGACTGAATCCTAGGGTAACTAATAAAACCCAGTTTTGTCTGGGATATAATTTAAATTCCTTCCAGAGAATATATAATACCCTAGGATGGAAGCAACATATTCAAGCTGTGTAGGCTAAAATTCTATTATCTCACCGCATTTGACAGGCAGGCTAAGAATAACTGTGATAATTATAAATGCTGAAAGAAATCAAAACAAGACTATTTTATGACAAGAAAATTACATAATACTCAAATTTCATTGCTTATGAAGTTTTATTAGAACACAGTTACACTCATTTGTTTTCATATTGTCTACTTTTACACTAAAACATTAAGGCTGAGTAGTTTAAAAATGATGATTGGATCTGTAAAAACTTAGCATTTGTAGTAGATTCCTACTAAGTAAACAAATACATACAAAAAAGAAGTTAGCTAACCACAGGGCTAGTCCGAACTACGTTAGCAAGAAACCCAGGAATAGAACACTTAACCACTCTACCCTAATCTAATTTCTCAAAGTAACACTTGCAATTCAAGAATTCAATCTAGCATTCTATGAAAGCTGGTGAAAAGGAGAAAATTACATTTCAAGATGTTCATGAAATGTTTAGAAAACTGCATACCATCTAAGTATTCAATGGCAGATCATCAGATCGAGAACAGGTCAAAGGCAGGGCAGAGTGGCACATGCTATGGACAAGCTAGAGCAACAAAGGCTAGTTCAAAGCAGTGGGATTTCCAGTTCAAGGCCAACCTGGGCTAGATAGTGAGAACCTTTCTCAAAACCAAGCCAAAACCAATACAAAACCTCTAAGGATTTGTAGTACTGAATAATGTTATGTATCATTGTTAAACACAAAAGAGGAAATGAAAGGCCTTCTACATTTATGAAAGGTATTTTTTATGAAACTCATGGATTCCTAGCAAAATTGTATCAGGAAATGTATGTATGTATTATTTGGAGAAAGATTTGCACATCTGTACTTTCAAACTTTCATAAGCTGTTGTCAAGAATCATTCAGTTTAGTGTTTGTGAGAATTGTGCGAATTCTATAAAGTCTCCTAGGCTGTTTGACTGTCCATCTAGGAGTTTTCAAGGACAGAACATGACTGAAAATGTAGCCTCTTTTTCTTTACTTCCTCTTGTGTTTAAAAATGCATCCTGAATTGTGCCCTCAAACATTCATTCTATTGTGTTATTTGTAGAGCTGACATCAATAAATAATGCTGAAAACATCGTGCTCTGAAGTTGGTTCTCTAGGAGTGATGCCAACATCTACACGAAACATCCCTAACCTGATTGCATAGCTCAGACAATGTTTCACAATATGTACAATACCTACACATTGAATTATACTGTAAAAGTCTAATTTTTTACAAGAAAAAAAAGGTAAATAAGAAGACAAACAACCTTAGCTATTCAGAGATCCTGTGTTCCCCTACCAAATCATTCCAGAAGAAATTTTGCATCAATAAAGCAACATAGTTTGAAGAATACTTACAATGCTTTTGTCAGCAATCACTAACCAAGAATCACTCCGTTCACTCTAGGTAAGAGACTGTCCTCTGCATTAATTATAGTCTCATTTACAAAGCAGGAGTCTATTTATTGTCCCCTTTCCGCAATTTATTACACTAAATCCAGGTGAGCAGGGAAGTCAGTACTTCTAACCCTAGCACTCAAGAGGCCATGGCAGGGAAATTTCAGGCCAGCAAAATCCTGGCTTAAAAAATAGTAAAACAAATTTAATGAAGGATAGTTAAGACACTATTGTAAGGCACAGGATTTTGGCAAGTCTTCCATGTAATCGAGCATCTTCAGCAGTGTAAGGTCTTTAAGCAAGATATGGCTATAAAGGATGGGGGAAAGCCAAGTTAGGCTCACATGGAGCTACCTTCCAGTGCCAGAAGACAGTGATTTAACAAGACAAACAGCAGACAGTGCTAAAGGACCTGCCAATCAGAAGAGCACCCACAGCGCTGATCTAGGCTAACCAGGAGCTGCTTCTCAGGGAGGTGACGTCTGAACTGACTTCCTACGTTAAGAGCTAGTCACTAAAATTGGAGGGCAGCGTGGTACAGCCACCTCAAGGGCCTGAGACAAAAGGAATGGGGTCTGTTGGGCAATAAAGGATGGCCAATGTTGCTGAGCCACTGTCAACAGTGAAAACTAGCCATGGCAATGAGATTTACTGTGGCTGAGAACGCTTTTGGGGCTTTAACCAGTTTTCTGATCTGACTTCTCTGGTAGCTGAGGGACAAATAACAGTGCTGGAGTCTCTCTATTTTGAACTTACCACAGTGGGTTAATACAAATTAGAGCAACAGAATATATGTCAATATGGAAAATGCAAAGAAAGATTTGGGGTGACTTCTGGAGGAGACACAACAGGACCTGGAGATGTAGGACCATTAAGGAAACAAACACATCACAAAAGCTTTTGTGAAACTGATGGGTTGTGGGAACCGAAATATGGAAGTGTGGAGACAAGGCAGATTTACATCACTTCCACTTGGCATTCATATAAAATAACAAATTCTTCAGAAGCCATCGAGCTGTTTGAGATTTGAGTATAAATCGCCTATGGGGATTACATCTCAATTACTGACAAAAAGATGTTTCTCAAGGTATACAGGCAAAACAGTCTGAATGAAATCAGACAGAGAGTCAACAGACACAGTTCGATAACAATATGCATAATGCATACAAATTATGTACCTTTAAAAATCAGTAACGGATTGTTTAGAGATTCTTACCTTTGATCATAAGAATAATTACCACAAAAAAAAATATAAGTGCATAGACTGATGTCAGATCATCTGAATATGTACAAGAGCTACCTCACTCAACAAGAGTCCCACGCTAATCACTTCGCATCTCAGGTGCTTCTGTTTCGTCAAGCATAAAATAAGGAAGACAGTAACTACTTCTTGGCAGACTTGAGGAGATCAAACAATCAGCTAGCATTCATAAAGCGACCACAACAATACATGACATAACAAGTACACTGAGACAGGAGAATTAAGAGTTTAAGGCTAGGGGCTGGGCGGTGGTGGCGCACGCCTTTAATCCCAGCACTTGGGAGGCAGACGCAGGCGGATCTCTGGGAGTTCGAGGCCAGCCTGGTCTACAAGAGCTAGTTCCGGGGACAGGCACCAAAGCTACAGAGAAACCCTGTCTCGAAAAAAACCAAAAAAAAAAAAAAAAAAAAAGC